CATCTTATTTCTACAGTGTAGTCAAGCAAGTTCTTTATGCCTTGCTAACATTTCTAACTATCCTCAGAGCCAAGACGAACAATACCATGTTTGTTTTCATGGTTCTTAAATAACTGAGGAAGCCCTGATTTATGGACCTGTTTTGCTCTTCTGTGCAATCCTTATTGCTCCCTGTTTAACCCATAATTACTATTGAGGAACCAGAGACAAATGTTCCCCCCAGATGAGGAGTTGCTCCAATTTGCAGCTTGGATGTTGATTGATTGAGTGCTGCAGAAAGGATCTGCTCATAGTGCATTCAGGATCTATGGTACAAAGAAGAAAACCTTTCCAAATGGAAGAGGTTCATACCTGTACAGGCATCTTGACATGGCCTTGTGCCTGAGTCAGCCTTATTGCTGAAGATCCTGGACTACATATTTCATTTGAAACCTGGTTTCTGTGTTCCTTCAAGGCTCGTTAGGTTATGGATATTAGCGTTTTGCCCTTTGGTTTTCCATCTTCTCGCATCCAACATTATTGAGACTTCTCAAAGGGTGCAGGCTTATTTTCCACTTAGGTAGCCTGACTTGACTACATGTGAACCCTTCTGAATGTCCGAGTAGGCATCACTTTATCCAGAAGAGTGAGAATGTTGTAAGCACTTGTAGCAGATGCTCCATGTATCTTGTTACATAAGGACAAGCTAACATCAAAATCTCACATGTTCATCCCCAGATAATGTCTGAGTTTCATTTAAGCCAGTCCATTTGTATTCTTCTTGAAGCTGCATTCCATGCATGGGGAGGAGAAAATCCCTGCAGATACTGTAGATGTATTCTGTGCTCTATGCTAGTGCCTTGACAGACTTGACTCCTTTCCCATTTGTTCCCATACTGCTTTGCAGCCCTAGGGCCATTCTAAAGGCCAAGCCCTTGCACTGGCAGAGACTCAGTGTATAACTGTGCAACCAGTTTAGTGGCTGGAAAGTGTTCCTTGCTCACTGTCCATTAAGGCTCACTCTGCAGTGTCAGGGTTGTGGATGGTCACTTACTAAGTTACTGTAGACAGGTTGGGGTCATACCCTGCCAGCCCCAAGGAGGGAAGAGTGGCATTTACTTTTGAGGGCTAAGGCAATTTGGCAGTGAGTGTGACAGGGTTAAAACTAGTTTTGCTGATGCTGAAGTATATAAAGCCTTGACTCCTTAAAAATCTTTCTCTTCATTCTGCTTTTTCAAAACAAGGTGCGTGTCTTATTTGGAGGGGGTATAGTATGCAAGAAAATATGGTATGTCTGCTTGTGTTTGTAAAGCACAAATCACCAGATTTGGCTGCAAGAGCTGAGACTGAATTTAGGAAAGCATTGTTCCAGGCCCTATCCAACAGATTCAGCTCCCACTCCTCATTCTTGAAGGGGATGCTGTTTGGCATTAACGTATAATGGCACATACTTGAAGGAGGAACAGCTACCTTACAAGGTGTCAGTATAGAATCTCGTGACCTGTCTTCTATTCCCACCTTGAGTCCCCAACTACTGTGGGCCTACTTTTGAGAGGGAGGCTAGCTCAACCTAGTGTATCCTTGTATGGAGCATGAGGTGTGTAGGGCATGTGCAGGATCCAAATGGATACAACTATTTAAAAGACGTTCCAAGCTCACACCCATGACATGCATATAATAGGATTCATGCTGACTGTAGTATCTCAAAGAACCATAGTTACTATAGGGTAAGTAACCATTCTTTTTCCAGTTTGATGAATGATTAACTTCAAAATTAATGAGTAAGTCTTGCTACTACAAGTAATCCATTTGGTTACCCAGTGGTGGTGGGAGATGCCAGAATACTTGAATAATCAGTGTCTAGCATAGGAAATCTCTCTTGAACCTGTTAGTTTCTCCAGATATTTGGCAGGGAGCAAAGGGAAGAGTTTCATAAAAATGTAGAAAAGGGAAAGAAAAACAAATCATCCCTGACTCCAGCCCAGATAGAGTTCCTAGGGCCCAGGTTAGATGTAGTGTAATGGCTTGTGAGTTAGTGAAGCAGTTTATTAAAACTCTACTTCTCATTTGAAGAAGTGGGACCATTGTGCAGTCAGCCACTGTAGATTAAATGGGACCAAAAAAAGATTTTTTTTTTTTTTTTCTTTCCTACATGCATGGTTTTGAACCTTGTTCATTGAGGTGCACTGATGCATTGGTCCATATCATATCAGCATTGATAAAAGGAAAATTGACATCATTGGCAACTGGCTTTTTCAGCTGATGTGGCTGATAATGTCACCGATTAAATGCTGCATGCACGTGTGCAGCCACAGCATACATGCAGCCAGGAACGCAGCTCAGCAGCTTGGGAGAGCAGTGTCCAGCTATTAAGTCTGTTGGCAGGAAGGGGCAGGGGGAGAGAAGGGGCACGCATGGTGGGGGGTATGCAGTTCGAGGCCTCCGTGGTGAGAGGGAGTGGGGCTGGAGCAGGGGCCAGGCGCTGCACAGCTTGGGTGGGACAGGATGCAGGACAGAGCCGTGGCTTGTGGGAGTCCCCTGCCCCCTCCCTCCAACTGCTGTACACCCCCAGAGGAGGCATGGGGGGCACATGCCCCCCCTACCCTGGATCTGTGCGTGAGGCAAGAGTGGGCTGCCTGTTGTGGGCTGTGCTGAGCTCTTCCTGGCAGAGGGGCTGGGCCTAGGCTGTGCTTGGGGCAGGTGGCAGTGGCATTGGG